AGGGCACCGCTCCTCTCCTCAGCGCCGACGGCAACACTCTCCTGACTGAGAAGACGCAAATCCTGCAGCGATGGGCCGAGCATTTTCGAGGCGTCCTCAACCGCCCCTCCGTCATCTCCGACGCCGCCATCGAGCGTTTGCCTCAAGTGGAGACCAACGTGGACCTCGAACTCCCGCCATCTCTCCAGGAGACCATCAGGGCCGTGCAGCAGCTCTCCAGCGGGAAAGCACCCGGATCGGACGCAATCCCTGCTGAGGTCTACAAGCACGTAGGTCCCCAACTAATGGATCAGCTGACTGCGCTCTTCCAAGAGATGTGGCGTCAGGGTGAAGTCCCGCAAGATTTCAAAGACGCAACCATCGTGCATCCCTACAAGCGCAAAGGGAATCGCCAAGTCTGCGACAATCACCGAGGCATCTCCCTGCTGAACATCGCCGGGAAGATCTTCGCACGAATCCTCCTCAACCGCCTCAAAAACCATCTGGAACAGGGCCTTCTGCCGGAAAGCCAATGCGGCTTCCGTCGTCCTAGTGGAACCACGGATATGATCTTCGCCGCCCGTCAACTTCAGGAGAAGTGTCAGGAGATGCGGACCCACCTGTACTCTACCTTCGTGGACCTGACGAAAGCCTTCGACACGGTGAATCGTGAAGGACTGTGGAAGATCATGCAGACATTCGGCTGTCCGGAGCGATTCACTCAGATGGTGCGTCAGCTGCACGACGGTATGATGGCGCGAGTCACGGACAACGGAGCTGTCTCAGAGGCATTCGCAGTGACCAATGGAGTGAAGCAAGGCTGCGTACTGGCGCCTACCCTCTTCAGTCTTATGTTCTCTGCCATGCTGATGGACGCCTACCGCGACGAACGCCCAGGGATCCGCATCGCCTACAGGACGGACGGTGACCTCCTGAATCAACGGCGGATGCACTTCAAATCGCGCGTATCCATAACCACCGTGCACTAACTCCTCCTCGCCGACGACTGCGCCCTGAACACCACCTCGGAAGAGGAGATGCAACGGAGCATGGACCTGTTCTCCGCCGCCTGTGAGAACTTCGGTCTGGTCATCAACACACAGAAGACGGTGGTGATGCACCAACCGCCACCCAACTCGGCCACAGCACCCAACGCGCCGCCGCAAATCAGCGTGAATGGGACCCAACTGCAAGTGGTGGAGAACTTCCCGTACCTGGGCAGTACTCTCTCCCGCAACACCAAGACTGATGACGAAGTCGCCAACAGGATCTCGAAAGCCAATCATGCCTTCGGTCGCCTCCAAAGCACAGTTCGGAATCGTCATGGTCTCCAACTGAGCACCAAGCTGAAGAAGTACAAGGCCGTCATCCTGCCGACACTACTGTATGGAGCAGAGACTTGGACGGTGTACGCAAAGCAGGCACGTCGTCTGAACCACTTCCACCTCAGTTGTCTTCGTCTCATCCTGAGGCTGAAGTGGCAGGATCGAATCCCCGACACTGATGTGCTGGAACGGACAGGAATCCTCAGTATCTACGCCATACTGAGGCAAATTCAGCTGCGCTGGAGCGGTCACCTGGTGCGCATGGATGACGAGCGACTACCCAAACGACTCTTCTACGGAGACGTCGCGACGGGTTCTCGCCGTCAAGGAGGCCAGATTCGACGTTACAAGGATACCCTGAAGTCCTCCCTGAAATGCCTGCAAATCAACCCCACCAACTGGGAAGAGCTCGCACTCGATCGACCGGCCTGGAGGAGGACAGTGAAGACAGGCGCTGCGATCTACGAAGCCAACCGCATCGCTGCCGCCAAAGCGAAACGTGAAGCCCGCAAATCACAACTTCGCCCAGTAAGCAACGCCGCCGCACAACCGCTTCCAACGTGTCCTCGATGTCAACGGACATTCCGGGCTCGAATCGGACTTGTTGGACATCTTCGGATTAACTGCGCCTCTCGAACGGCACCAACCATCGTCCCCCCGCCTGCCTCTTCCTCCTCCTCTCCGCCGCCAACTAACCCTGACAATTCTCCTGACCCATCACTTCCACCATCCTCCTCCTCCTCCTCCTCCTCGCCCACTGCTTCAACGGCGGCCGCTCAGGCGACTGTCCCGCGCACAGCAACCGACACTACCACCACCTCCCCCGACTCCAGGGATGAGAATCAGGACTACACCTGCCCTCACTGCGACCGTACCTTCACCTCACACATCGGTCTGGTCGGTCACAGAGACTGGCGAACCAGTGCGTGAAGCACCAACCTACACCCACCGCACTCGCCTCCACTGCCCACACTGCCCTCGCACCTTCAGACATCGCATGGGCCTTTTCGGCCACATGCGCATCCACGAGAGCGGCCTTGACCACACTCCCGACACACCCACTACATCCAACACATCCACCGTGCACACCCCCACTCTCGTTCCAACCGTCCGCGACACCACCACCACCGCCGCCTCCTCTGTAACTGACACTGACACCGCCGACTTCTCATGCCCACACTGTCCACGCACATTCACCTCACGCATCGGCCTAGTCGGTCACTTGCGAATCCATCGCACAGAGACTGGCGAACCAGTGCCTGGAGCACCCAACTATACCCACCAAGCTCGTCTCAACTGCCCACACTGTCCTCGCACTTTCAGGCATCGCATGAGCCTATTCGGCCACATGCGCATCCACGACGACCTGCGGTAGACAACCGCCGGCCACACCACACATTCACTCACTCCCTACCTCCTCCACCACCACCATCACTCCACCACAAATCAACACTCACACACCTCATGCACCCAACTGCCACCTCCCACGCAAGTGGGAAGTGTGCATCTCGACTCGGTCCCCATGCGGCTTCGGCTGCACGGGTGACTTGAGTCCGAGACTATCCCGACACGTCAAGCGTCGTGGATAGGAAGGTTGCTGATTGACGCCCGCTCTCGGTTCACGCAGTTTGTCGCGCTGTGTGTGTGTTGTGTGGAGTGGCGGACTGGTGGGCTGGGAACGGGCTGCAACAGCACCTTCCACGGCACTCTCACGCAAGTGAGAGACACGCCGTTCAACCCCCGTTGTGTGAAATCCTGGTTTTGTGTGTATGGGGGGCCAGGTCGTGCCGTAGCGCGCGCAGTCATGGTCAGTCGACCATGACATCCACCGCGCCCATTCCCCACTCCAGTCTGCTGACCGGCTCGGACAGCGGCTGGGGTGTGGGAGTGGGAAGGGAGAGTGAGGTCGACGACTCAGCGCACTTTCTCCTCACTATAAACATTCTGACGCGCTTGAAGCTATCACGGTGCGCTAAAAGCCGTGGCTTGGAAGGTTGCCAACTGACGGGGTACCTTGGACCTCCTCCATGACCGGAGGCGGTCTGAGAGTCAGGCTGCAATGGCTCCTTTTTAATGTGGCCTTTATGGCACTCCCATCACAGTGTGGGATCCGAGCCAGGCGTTGGCGGCACGCCCAGGTGCGGCTTCGGCTGTGCCAGCCTCCAAATCTCTCTTGTGTTCGTTGAAATCCTGGTTATTTGTTGTGTGGACCAGGGGGTGTGGTGGAACGCCAAGGTGAGGATCCGTCCGAGCCATCCACCTGCGGCCTCTCTCGTCTCCGGTCTTCTTGACACTGTCTTGACACCGGACTCGGGCGAGGGAGGAGGAGAGAGTGTAGGTAGATGCTACGCAAGTCTACCGGCACTATAAACCCCTGCGTAAGTCACCGTCCCTGCTCCCATTGCTGCTGCAACTGTGGGGCACACGGTGGACATCATCGAAACCGATGGTCGAACTGCCATATATTCACCTTTTCCAGTTCCTAGTCCAGACAGTTATGTGCAAGCCTCCTGAAAAACACAAAGGAAATGTGCGATCGCCCCTTTACAGCTGGCCTGATAGACTGACAACTACCAACTAAAACACACCTAACTTTTCCCAACTGGAATATACTTGCAAGGTCAGTCCGATATCGAAGTTCTTCAAGTTCAATGAAGGACATATTATTCATGCCCCACCAGAAACTACTAAACTGTACACTTCGATGATTATTTTGTACATATCGTTCTTTCTTAGAACTTTTGTGATTATTTTTCTTTGGATTTCAGGCATTTTTAAATTAAAGCAAACTCAG